AACTCAGGAAGGAGCAAGGTGCTGGTGGTTCACACCTGTAATCCTAGCTACTAATAAGGCTGAGACCTGAGGATCACAATTCAAAGCCAGCTTGGGGAAGGAAAGTCTGTGAGACTCTAACCACCAGAAAATGGGAAGTGGTGTTGTGGCTCAAGTAGTAGAGCACTAGTCTTAAGTAAAAAAGCTCAGAGACATTGCCCAGGCCCTGAGGTCAAGCCCCAGGACTGACACACCAAAAAATAAACCTCAGGAAAGATTAAAAAGCAGAATTAAGGCTTAGATCAAATTACCACTGACAATTACTGAAGATCAAAAAGAGATAGTGAACTGAATTATACTGAGGTAGTATATAGATTACAGCCCACAACTCATTTATATTGCTTTATGAGTATAGACCTTTCTAGTGTTTAAACCATTATTTAGAAGACATGTATGTCTGGGGCAGAGAAAGTACAAAACAAAGCTAAAATTCCTGTCCCACAGGAAGCCAGATCAGACAGTGCTCAGTGCTATAGGAGACCAAGGGCAGCAGCGGCCACATTCTGGGACCCAACCAGGTCTCAGACTCTAGAGAGCACCTGCTCCATGGTGTCCGTCTGGATCTGAGATTCTTGCCTGTAGTCTTCTACCCAACTGACTGTGCTCAGTCATTCAGTCATTCCAGGTTGGTTAAACCTGGTAATTTATATCACAACCTCACAGACTGATCCATAGTGCCTACCTAAGATTTATTCCCGGCCACCATGTACTGAATGCTTCCTATACGCAGGTCCTGTAGACACGGATTATCTCCTTCATTCTTCTTGATTCTTTAGAACAGACTCTGTCATTGTAGCCACTTTATAGGTGATGGGGTGGAGGCTCAGGTGGTAACTTGCCCAAGGTCACAAGATGTTAGAGTCAGAATTTGAACCCAGGTGGCATACATACCCTTGGCTACCAGGCCATTGACTTTGAGATCTATAGTCTGTTCTCAGCAAGCCCATTTGTGACTGACCAACCTATACAGAGAGGGATATAGGATAGAGACAGAGAGAAAGAGAGAGGCAGAAAGAAATAAAGAGAGAGGAGAGAGACAATAACACAGAGATGGGACAGAAACAGAGAGAGAGGAAAGAGATATATACAGTGTCTGATCCTAAAATGATTAAAGCAAAACTCAAATCCATCCATCTATCCATCCACTTATTTGCCAGTCACCATTGTGAGGAAACCTGTCTTTTCTATCAAAGTGTGTTCTTTAAAAGCTCCTGCTTTGGCCTGGTGACTTGGTTCTTGTTAAGGAAAACAGGGACTGCTTTGGGATAAGAAAGGATTTAAATGTAAGGTTTTATCTTGAATTGCTTTCTTTTCAAGATGGTATTACATTTTTCCCTATTCACAGGGGCAGATTGTGAACCTGAGCTCAGCCAATCTGAGCAGAAGGGTGGAGCAGATAAATACCTGAGTAGACTGCTTGTTCTGTATTTGCTTGCCAGAGTTTTGACTAACAGCTCACACATCTATACAGAAGTAAATTTTGCCTTGTGTTTATCATTGTGACTCCAGTGGTTCTTGGAGAGCCATATTTATAACACCATGAGCAACAGGCCCCAAGCTCTTAGCAGCATTCCTGACACCCAATACTAGGTTCATAGGAAACTTATTAAAGGCCATTCACTCCACAGTTCAGCTTCCAACACACCAGCTATCTCTGATCTACCCCATCTGGGTGGTTTGGCTTATACCACTGGAGCAGGAGACATATAGCAGGAAAAAAAAATGAAAGCTTGGGCCTTGGCCTCAAACATGCCTGCATTCAAAGTGCTTTAGTCTGGACTGGGAATGTGGCCTAGTGGTAGAGTGCTTGCCTAGCATGCATGATGCCCTGGGTTTGATTCCTCAGTACCACATAAACAACAACAACAGCAAAGCCAGAAGTGGCGCTGTGGCTCAAGTGGTAGAACATTAGACTTAAGCAAAAAGAAACTCAGAGACAGTGCCTAGGCCTTGAGTTCAAGCCCCAGGACTGACAAAAAACAAAGTGCTTCAGTCTTTGATTTATCAGACTAAAACAACAGTTGTGAAGAGAACACATATACAAAGTGCTCAGAACACAGAAAGTGCCCATTAAATCACTTTCTTACCCTCCCATCTAGGCTAGGCTTCTGAAATCCACCATGTACTCCCCTTCCACCAATTTCTTCTAGAGTTAATATGGCTCCACCAGCTAACCATGATGAACACCTTCTAGATCCTCAGCGCTAGGCCAGGTTTGGGATGTGACTTGGTTAAGCCATGCATCTGAATCAAAGGAGATGAGAAGAGGCTCACTGCCATGCCTCACAGTGAGGGCAGTGATATCCGGGCTGTGGGAATAGGGGAGCTGGATGGATAGAGGGCAGTGACTTTGAAAGCCATTAAACAAACAAATGGATGCCCTCAGAAAGGATCGCTTTATTAATAATGGGAAGAAAGACATCAGAAAGGTATGAATCAGCCAAGAAATATCCTAGGCTAGACAGTGAAAAGGAGAAGGAAAAAGAGATGGATTTCAGTGTGTCCAAACAGTGAGCACCACAGGCCTCCTTGACACTGTGTTTAGATACTGAAGGAGGAGGTGACACAGAGGCACCTGCCACATTACATTTGAAAGGTCAACATTCTCTTAGGCACAGTAGGGATGCGGAATCTAAATGATGCCATCTTGGCCATGTGGCAGATGATAGGATATTGGGTTCAACTAGTGCCATCTTGTCTTCATGGTAGAAGCAGGGAAGTCCCTGCCCAAGTGATGGGCATGCCTGAATTCCTAGAAACAGGCATAGGGATTTGTACAATAGGTTACTGGATCTGCCAGTCTTGGGTTGTGAACTCTCAAGCTTCCTGTGACCCTGCCTCCTGATCTGGCCTTATTTAGGCCCAGACCAGCTCAGGCACTGGTACTATATGCCTTGTGTCCTGTGTCCTGTCTCCTGGCTCTTATTCAGTCACCATGGCATCCCACTTCGCTCTCCATTGGAGTTGATCTGGTTTGTTGGTATTGTTTTTCTGCTCTTTCTCTTCTGCTCTCATGGCTCAGTTTTCTGACAGTGAATTCGCCGGGCTGCAGGTCTTTGTGACAAGAGCCCGCCTGTATTTGCCTGCTTTCCAATAAAGACTCCTGATTCAACCTCTCAAAATGTGGCTTTTCTGTTTTCTCACTGTATGACAACTGACCTTGTCTGAAGCTGTCTGTGGTTTGTTCATTTGGTCAGTCAACTACACTCATTGTCTACCTAAATGCCAGGTGTTGCCTTAGGTACTGGGAGGGTTCCAATGACAAACCTGTTTTGTGTTAAGATTCAGCAAGGAACAAAGAAGATACAAGCACTTGGGCAGGATGTGGTTTGACTGACAGGTGGGAAGCATGGGCACAAAAGAGGAAAATGAGAGAAATATAGGCTGGGTCAGCCAGATAAGGACTGAATTCTTGATGGAGGACAAGAGGAGCCACTGAAGGTTTAAACAGAGGACAAAGGATCCAACAGAGCATTTTGCTTCTCCTTTTGGGAACTCAGGACATCACACTTTTCATCTAGGTTTCTTCATCGTGCTTAGCATTATTAATGCTTAGCATTGTTAAGATCTAGCCAAGTACCAGTGGTTCACACCTTTAATCCTAGCTACTCCGGAGGCTGAGATCTGAGGACTATGATTCAAAGCTAGCTGAGAAGAAAAGTCCATGATCTTCATCTCCAATTAACCACCACAAAGCCAGAAGTGGAACTGTGGCTCAAGGGATAGAATGCTAGCCTTGATCAGAGATACTATTCAGACCCTGAGTTCAAGACCTATTCCCCTCTCCCCAAAAAATAAATAATTAATAAATATATGTTGAAAGCATAAACAATCTTGTATAGTCTGAATGTCCAAAGAAAACAAATGGGAAGTATATGAAAGACTGACCAAGCTCAATAAATGTGAGTTCTTTAACAAATGAAGCTCTCTGAGGGTCTCATCACCCAAAGAACATGTTCCAAGGCCTTTTTGCCCAGATCAAACACTTCATGATAAAAGTATTGAAGAATCTTCAAACAGCGATTTCAAGCTGCCAGTTATTCATTTCTAAGCAGCTTAACTACTTCTTGGGCAACCTGAGAGGAGCTAAGAACTGAGGGTGCTGGGGCACAGCTGAGCTGACAGGGAAAGGGGGAATACGTCGCACTGAGCACTTACTGCCTGTCAGCCAGCATGCTGCATTTTCTCACATGTACCTGTGCACATAAAAGGAGTTACTAGCCAATCTAGACTCCTCCACCACACCTAGCCCCACCTTCTTCACCATCCCCCATCCTTTATCTTCAGACCTTTCTGGACCTTGTTCTCTTGGAAGGCTTATTCTCTCTGTTTCATACTGGGAAACACTCCTGCCCTTGTTTATAAAGCATGGGAGAAACCCAGAAAGCAGTTATAACTTTGAGTGATCATGACAGCAGAGATCCTGTGAGCAAGGAGTCTCCTGATAAATGACTAAATATAGTCTTCATTTCTACAGGAATCAACCATTTCTGGGGAGAGCCACATCAATTCCATACCTACAGAATGAATATTTACTGTATCTAATTAGATATAAATAGATACAGGGAAAAACCAAATAAGAACCTAGCAGACATCAGGGAATCCCAGAATCCACTTATTTCAAGTACCTATGAATACCTACAATTTTTGCTTCTCACATTGATTCAGTTTAAGAGGATGAATTTTATCTGTGTCTTCACTCTGTATATGGAGAGACTTCCCACAATGAGGTGGAAGGGTGAGAGCCTAAGACAAAATTCACTACAAACAATGCCCCCAAAATTCCTGCACATAGATGATGAAAAATTGTCTGTAATATTTTCTCAACTAAATCTCAATGCCAAAATAAATTGAGATAATCGTTTGTAACATAGTTATGTTCCCATGATGCTCCCTGTCTGGCAACCCCTGGCTCACAGACCTCTAGCAACTGGAAGGCTACCCCACAAATCCCCTCCTACCTGCTGGGCTGCCTCGTGGAAGAGTTCCCGTGAGGAAGCCATCTGGGTCAGTCTCCTGGAAGTGTCCTGGGTGGGGAGACACTTCTGGAAAGTAAACACCATCCTTAGTCAGCCTGGTTCCTCTTTCCCTTACTACTTGCTGCCCGCCCTTCCTCTACATTAGGCCAGGCCCTGGGTGAGGAGGGAACCTTGTTCTACTTGTCTATAGACTCCATATAGCAGCCTCTTTGGTACCCACAAAGATCCCAAACCTGCTCCAGAGCACACAGGTGCTTCAATCTTCTGTCCTACAGCCACAGCACCCCCAACTCACTCTTCCCTGAATCCCTTCAATATGTGGGGGTCACAGCCAGAAGCTCAGTCCTTAAGAACTTAGCTTCTATACCCCTTCTCCACCCCGAGGGGCCTCGGGAATCAAAGGATTCACGCAAAGGTCTACAGCAAAGACACCATTGGCTCAGGTGAACCGACGGGGCAAATGGTGAGTGCGGGTAGACAGACAGACATGATGGGGGCTGCGGGTAGACAGACGGGGAGGGGGGGGAGGGCTGTCTCAGGAGCGCCCAGGAGCAGTTCGGAGAGGAAGGGCTGGTGGAAAAGGATGCCCGCGCATCCCCCTGAGGACCCTGTCTTCGCCCTGGCTTTCCTGGTCTCCGGAGGCAGAGACCGCGACAACTTGGAGGAGAAGATGGAAGAAGGGGTGAGGCTGTGACCGACGATGACAGCAGCCGTCGAAGGAGCGGGAAAGCGCAGCGAGTGGTGCTCAAAGGGTTGGAGTGCGTGGGGCCAGGGCGTGGCCCGGGTGGGCTGTGCGTGAGGCCAGGGCGTGGCCCGGGTGGGCTGTGCGTGAGGCCAGGGCGTGGCCCGGGTGGGCTGTGCGTGGGGCCAGGGCGTGGCCCGGGTGGGCTGCGGTCTGTCAGAAGCGGGTCCGGGGTGGGGTGGGGTGGGGTGTGGGCCGGGGAAGGTCAGCCCCATGCCCGCCCGCGGCGCGGGGCGGCGCTGGCCACAAGGGACCCCCCCCCCCCGACTCAAGCCCACCCTCCCCCGCCCGGCCGCCTCGTCCCGCGTCCAGGGCCTCACAGGACCCTGAGACACCCCTCCTTCCCCGCCCGCGCGACCCCACCCCACCCCAAGCCCTCAGGACTCCCGAGGAGGGGCGGACACCCAGCGAGCGCAGCCCAAGTGGCCGCGCCTACCTAAGCGAACAGGGAGATGGGGGACCCCAAGTCTGGCCTCTCGCTGCGGGCCGGGGCTCCGTCCTAGGAGCGGCCCCGAGACGACCCTTACACCTCACACCAGTCCGGGCGACCTCCGCTCCTCACCTGCACCGGGACTGCGCGCTCCGTGCACGCGGCCCGACCCGACCACGCCCCCTCGATGCCCCGCCCACTCCCGCGCCTAGGCCACGCCCACCGCCACGTGGCCGGCCGCGTCCCAGCGGCTGGAGCCCCAGCTGTTCGGTCTGGTAGTGGTGCCCGCCCCGGCTCGCGCACGCCAGCCTTGGGGCGCCCGGGCCCCGCGGAAGGAGGGTGCGCAGACCCCTCCGCTGCCCAAGGCTGGCCATCTGGGCGGAAGAAGGAGAGGGGAACCTTCGCCTGTGGGTGGAGGCTGCGGGCGAGAAAAGGTCCTGGATCCACGCTGGCAGTGACCACCTCCACCAGAAGCTCGGTGCAACCGACTCAAGTGCTCGGCCCGGCGTGGGGGGCACAGACCCCAGCACGGGGGTGGGGGTGGCGATCCCCGCAGGTGCTAGAGAAGCACATGAGCCGAGAATGAGACACACACACACACTCAGACACACACACACACCCGCCCCGGCACCCCCAGCCGGGGGGGGGGGTGGTCCCCCGTACTGTTTTCCATTAGGAAAGCCCCTCCTCGTCCTCCCCGCCCTCTGCATGATGAGTGGTGGGGGGATTACCCTCACCTTCCACCTGACCCACCACCACTTTCCCAAGTTGGGGTAAAGTAAGGTTTTCAGCACTTCCGGTTGCAGGAGAAAAAAAGAAAAGAAAAACCAAACTACCACGCAGAAAGATTAAATTATCTCCGGTTCCAATCTGGCAGAATTCCTACACTTTAAATAACTTGCTAGGCTTCCATGTGGCTGCGGAGAAACGGGAGGGCAGCTGGGAGTACTTCCCACGCCCACAGGCCTTTGTGAGAGATCCCTAAAAATAGAGGTTGTTCTCTTAAAAACAAAAGGGACCGCAAAGCCCTGCTACACTGTCACAGCTTCCTCTGCTCTGGCAAAGAAGTCAGGCCATGTGTGAAGGTATTTTACATACAATTTTGCCATTGAACCCATTTTTAACAGAAAAATTCAGTAATGCAAGTCACACCGCTATGTGGTACAACCATCACCAGCACTCCCTCACTCCCCACCCCCAATTTTTTAAAACAGAAACTTCATTTAAAAAAAAACTACAAACCTATTCCCTCCACCTGCAGGCCTGCTCAGGCCCTGGTGACCTCTCATCCACTTTTTTTGGAGGGGGGAAGGGGTGCAGTGCTGGTATTGGGGCTTGAACTTGGATCTAGTTTCTGTCCTTTAGCTTTTTTGCTAATGGTTGGTGCTCTACCACTTGAGCCACAGCCTCCCACTTCCAGCTTTTTGGTGGTTAATTGAAGAAAAGTCTATTTTCTGCCCCAATGGCTTTGAGGCACAATCCTCAGATCTCAGCCTCCTGAGTGCTAGGTTTACAGGCATAAGCCACTGGCAGTCCACCTAGTTGACATTCTGTCTCTCTGAATTGGTCAGATTGGATATTTTATATAAATAGGATCATATAATATCTGTCCTTTTGTGTGTGGCTTATTGTTCTTAGTGTAACGCCTCCTCTAAGCATCAGTGTGAACTTTGAAGAATCCATATTCTTCACATCCATATTAGCTTGAGTTTTCAAAAACTTACAAGGGGAAAGCCAGGTGCTGGTGGCTCATGCCTGTAATCCTAGCTACTAGGAAGCTGAGTAATGAGGATCACAGTTCAAGCCAGCTCAGGCAGAAAAGTCCATGAGTCTCTTATCTCCAATAAGCCTCTCAGAAAAACTGGAAGTGGCATTATGGCTCTAGCAGTAGAGTGCTAGCCTTGAGCAAAAGAAGCTCAGGGACAGTGTCCAGCCCCTGAGTTCAAGCCCCAGGATTGGCAAAAAAAAAAAAAAAAAAAAAATCTTGTGATTGGTATATGATTAGTATATAATGGTATATCCATAGAACAAAACATTTCCATTTCTAAAATAATACCCTCTGTGATATAATACCAGGATGGTCCTTGTATCATGAATTGGTAATAGATGAAAAATGAAAACAACCTTAAGAATCCACCCACAGAAGACTGGTTAAATCAGTTTTGGCTCAGCCACAGGAGAAGAGCCAGCAGTGAAAGAATTTGGTTTTATATATACTTATGTGGAACTCTGCCTATTCTATAATATTGAAAAAAAAAAACAAGTTGCAGAATAATGTATATGCAATGTTGTCATTTATATATTTATATAGGTAGAATATATGTAGGATAATAATGACACTAATAGAATTATAGTATATAATATATATAGTATATCTCTAGAGAATAGAGCTAAGAGAGTAAAGTTGGAGAGAAAATTCTGGATTTTTATTGGCTTTTTCTTAAAGTCAGCACATGTTACTTTGAAATCTAAAGGAAAACAAGGAAGAAAGTTTTTAAAAAAAAGAGCCAAAAATATGGGGCAGATTGTATTTCCCAAAGGTGGCTTTAGGAATATATCCCATCTTATATCCTCTTCTTACAATGAAAAGTGGAGATTCTTGTGTTTTACAACACAAAGTAGAGATTTTTGTGTTTGCTCTCAAGGAGCCTAAGTGCAGTAGAAATGAAAGAAATGAATGGCACTGCCTGTCTTCATAGGCTAGATCACAAAAGCATGAGGGAGCTCATCTGTCTTCCTCTTTGTGGGAGCCACCATGTGGTGGGGAAGCCTATGCCACATAAAGATGCCCACCTCATGGGCAGTCCAGGCAATTGCCATTTTCAACCACCAGACAGTGACAGAGTAAAATGGGCCTTCAGAAGATTCTAGGCCCCAACAGGGGTCCAAAAAGAGAAAACAAGCTCTGCTTGCTGGGCTCTGCCTTAAGCCTCTAAGTTTTGGGACAATTTGTTATGCAGCAATAGGTAGTCAATGCATAATACATCCAGTCAAGGTAACAATGGTGGGGTTTCTTTCAAAGTATTTTTTATCCACTTCACTGTTTGCAACCACTTCACTGTTAATGCAGCTTTTTAACATGGAACTAGCTTAACTGTAATCTTCCTATTTGTGCTTTCCAGAGTCACTTAGATGAAAGGCATGTACCACTATACCAAGCTATTGTGTCTTCCCTTATACCTGGGGTAACAGGCACACACCACTGCATCTAGCCATTGGTTGAAATGGAGTCTTGTAAAATTTTATGCTTGGACTGGCCTCAAGCCACCTTCTGATCTTTTAACTTCCAAGCAGCTAAGATTACAGGCTTGAGTCACTGTACCAGGCTTCACCTTTTCTTTCTTTCTCTTCTTTTTTAAAAATAAAAACATTCAGCAATAACTAAAGCTCCAATTGAAGCCCATATGCAAAAGTCCTACATGATGCTCTGTGAACCTTACCTTGCTCCACTGCAGACAGATCTTCCTTCCCCTCCTTTCTTCTAATAGTTGGTGTTAAAAGAGTTGTCTTTGTGCCAGGGAGCCCTAGTGTTTGCTCTTTTCCATCCTGTAATATTTTCAGGGTATCTGCTCTTACCTTGAGGTCTTTGATCCATTTGAAGTTGATTCTGGTGTAGGGTCTAACTCCAGTTTTCTACATGCATTTAGCCAATTTTCCCAGAACTATTTGTTGAAGAGGGTGTTTATCTTTCATTCTGGGTTTGTTTTTGTTTTTTTTTTGGCTCCCTTATTAAAGATTAGGTGGCCATAGTATGCAGGTCCATTTCTGGGTCTTCAGTTCTATTCCATTGGTCCTCAGGCCTGTTCTTATGCCAGTACTAAGCTATTTTTATTACTACAGCTTTTTTTTTTTTTTTTTGGCCAGTTGTGTGGCTTGATCTCTGGGCTTGGGTGCTGTCCCTGCCCTCTTCAGCTCAAGGCAAGTGCTCTACTGCTTGAGCCACAGCACCACTTCTGGTTTTTGAGTGGTTTATTGGAGATAAGAGTCTCACAGACTTTTCTGGGCTGGCTTTGAACCATGATCCTCAGATCTCAGCCTCCTGAGTAGCTAGGATTTCAGGCGTGAGCCACCGGCGCCCGGCTACTACAGTTTTGTAGTAGAGTTTGAAATTTGGTATTGATATTCCTCTAGCGAAACTTCCTTAATAAAGACCCAGAAACACAACAAATCAAAGAAAGGTTGGATAAATAGGATTGCATTAAAGTGCAGAGCTTCTGCATGGCAAAGGACATAGCTAGTAAGATAAATAGCCCATGGATTGGGAGATCTTCAGTAGCCATACAACAGACAAGGGCCTTATATCTAAAATATACTTAGAGCTCAAAAAATTAAATCTCTCAAAAAACAAATCCCCAAAGAAACAACCACCTCATTAACAAGTAGGCTAAAGATTAAAGAAAGACCTCTTTGAAGAGGAAATAAGAATGGCTAATAGACACAGGAAGACATGCTCAACTTCTCTGGCTATAAAAGAAATGCAAATCAAGCTGGGCACTGGTGGCTCACGCCTATAATCCTAGCTACTCAGGAAGCTGAGATCTGAAGATCATGGTTCAAAGCCAGCCCAGGCAAGAAAGTCCGAGAAACTCTTATCTCCGATAAACCACTGGAAAACTGGAAGTGGCGCTGTAGCTCAAGTGGTAGAGCGCTAGCCTTGAGCTGAAGAGCTGAGGGACAGCGCCCAAGCCCAAAGTTCAAGCCCCACAACCAACAAAAAAAAAAAAAAAAAGAAAGAAAGAAATGCAAATCAAAACAACATTGAGATTCCACTTTGCCCCAGTTAGATTGGCCATTATCAAGAAATCTAGTAACAACAGATGCTGGAGGGGATGTGGCTAAAAGGGAATGCTACTACACTGTTGGTGAGAGTGCAAACTTGTTCAGCCACTCTGGAAAGCAGTATGGAGGTTCTTGAAAAGACTAAAACATAGAGCTCCCCTATGACCCAGCAATCCCACTCCTGGATATTTATCCAAATGAACACAAACAAGGTTATACTATCAGCACAATCATGTTCAGTCCAGCATTATTTACCATAGCAAAGATATGGAAGCAGTCCAGATACCCCTCAGTAGATGAATGGATCAAGAAGATGTGGTATATAAACACAATGGAGTTCAATGCTTCCATCAGAAAGAATGACATTGCCCCCATTTGTAAGGAAATGAAAAGACCTGGAAAAAATTATATTGAGCAAAGTAAGCCAGGCCCAAAGAAAAGTAGGTTGCATGGGTTTCCCTCATTTGTAATAAATAGTATGTAATAAATAGGAATATCCTAACAAGGGATCTCTGTATCCCAATTTCTAAGTGCATAGGACTATACATAATGAAGTGTATGGAGCTGAGAAACTGACTCAGTGGTAGAGCGCTTGCCTCGCATGCATGAGGCCCTGGGTTGATTCCTCAGCACCACATAAGCAGAAAAAAAGCTGGACGTGGCACTGTTGCTCAAGCAGTAGAGCGCTAGCCTTGAGCTGAAGAGCTAAGGGACAGTGCCCAGGCCCAGAGTTCAGCCCTCATGGCTGATAAAAACTCTGGGCACAAGCTCATCTTTCAGCCCACCCAGTTAGACTCTCTGTAGTACTGCTGTGCAACACTAAAGATGAGGTGATAGGAGATGAAGTAGATGGATGAAGAGAAAGGAAGCTCCCCCTCACCAGATATGGACCTCAAACTACCACATGAGCCAGTTTCCCATACAGTTTCTGCAATCTTCAGCAAAGTCTCTATGCTATTCCAGCTGGATCTTCAGTTTGAAATAATGGAAATAGACATACATACCTGATTTTTGGGAAATGTTTTTGGAAAATGAAGCAGTTCATAAGCAGCTGTCCTGATAATGAAAGGATCTAATATTCTGATTTGATATGGCTTATAGATTAAGTGTAAGGTTGGTTTCTTCCAAAAACCATTGGTATTCTGAAATGAATATAGAAAATAGAACATTGTAGTCTTTTGTGGTTTTTTTTTTTTAAGGAAAGAATACTGAAGGTTGCCTGAAGGCAGATCAGTTTTGCCAACTTACTATTTTTCCACCTGCCAACAATTCCATCAGCCACTTTAAATCAAGTGGCTTAAAAGCAACAAGAATCGCTGTGGTGTTGGGATCATTGTGATTGAGGTCTGAAAAAACAGATTCTGGATAAAATAGTCTGAAGGTTGTCCTTCTCCCAACTTCCTCTTCATGCCCTAAAACAGGACCATTATTCATTCTGTGGGTAGGAAGACACGAGACATGTAGACCAAGTGGAGGAAGAGCCATTTTCATTACAATTCTTACCATCTTCAGGATTAGACCAAACAACAAACTACAAGATAATTGGTCAGAATTTTACAAATAATGATCAAAGACATAACTCCTTTTTTTATACTTGATCAGAGGCAAAAATAGTCACTTGTATTTGAAAACCAACAGTAGAACCAATGATACTTGCTCATAGGAAAACTGAAGACTAAATAAAAGAAAACCACAGAATAAAGTTAAGGGACCACCACACAAAGCTTTATGGATTGACAATGACCCTGAATTCCAGAGAGAGTTCTACTATACCCACAGTTACAAAGTCTACATTGCAATGCATGGCCATGTGTCTAAGCAACTGATAGGCAAGAAAAATTACATATAAATGGTCCTTGTCTGCCTCTTAGCCATTTATTGTATCATTCTCCCCAAGCTGGCTGCCTTCCTACCTCACTAGGTTTTCTGCTACTCCTCACAAACTCGGGATCCCATTAATATTTTCTCTGCTTCGTCTGGTCACTTAAGGCTTGAAAACCCATCCAAAATAAAATATTTTTTAAAGAAAACCCATCCAACTAGTGCTCTGAAATGAAGCAGTACAAATTGCTATGTTATCCTCTCTACCACCAAATGAATGTCTATTGCTAGATTGCACTGGAGAATCACAAAGATCCACCGCTAAGTTTGTGTCTGCTCAGAGCCAAGGTTAGACATGCCCTATTTAAAAACACACACTATGAAGGCATGCTATAAAAAGGGAATGCTTTTTGTTTCCTGAACAGTGTCCCTTAGGAAGATAAATACGGTCTTCTTCTTTGCCACTGACTGTAATGTAAGACTGTAGCATGAGGCTGTTTCAATAGCACGCTGAATGATTTCCAAATGCATCTATATTTTCCTCACAAGGGCTTGCCATGTTCCTAAATCATCAGAACTAGATGGTTTTAGGTAGAGAAATTTGTGAAAACTTCGAAATTGTTTGGTAGCCTCAATAATCCAAATGGGTAATAAACAGAAAGTCAGATCACTTTGCTATGTCTAAACGAGCTTGGAATCTAACAAAACCTCCAGGTCACACCAGGCCATCCTACCATGTTGCCCCAGTGTGCTAGCTTTCCCACAAAAGGCTATTCATATCTAACACAAATACCCAGGCCAGGTGATGGCCTTATCCCAACCTTCCACTAAGAAATATCCCCACCACAACAGCTCAGAGATTCCTAGTAGTTATAAGCACAATCCTGGTGGCTCTCCTTTCCATGACAAAACATTAACCACACACATGTTCTGGACACAAACCCTCTTTTCTTCACCACTCCAGTCTCTTCTCTACATTCCTATCAGTTTCACAATATTCCCTAGCATTGTTTACATCCACAAAAGAAAAGACAAGTATCTTTCTTGATTGTGCAAGCATTTCCAACTACCAGATCATTTTAAACTCTTCAGAACAAAATTTCTCAAGAGTTGAGAGTACTGATTTCTCTATCTCCTCATCTGTCCATCTCTCTTCAATCCATTCCAGTTGGGTTCTTGCCATATTATGCCGAAAGGCTGTTTGGTCAAGAAAGACAATATGCTCTGGCTTGACAAGCCTCTCTGTCTTGTTCGTGTTTTGTTTCCTCATTACCCTTGGGAGCTGGGTGTCCTCTCTCAGCTTCTGTGGTCACGTCTCATCTCACTGGTGGAGCCTCTATTCCTTTTGCTCACTTCTTTTTCTTTGCGCAACCACTTTTCGGTGTTGAACACTCCAAACTTCAATCCTGTTCCTGGGACTCTCACCAAACTCATGGTGTAAACACAGCTCTTAAGCCATTCACCATGAAAACTTTAGCTTGCTGATCCAATTGCCTACTTGCCCACTGCATATATCATAAGTATCTCCAATCTAGCATTCATTTACAGAAAACTTTTCCTCTACACCTCTTCCTACTCCTGTCTGCCCAAACTCAATACATGTTATCACTTTCTAGTCAATTTCTTAAACTAAAAACAGAGTTAGAGGCATCTTTAGTTCCTTTATTCTTATTAGTCCTCATATCTAGTACAACAATAAATCCTGATAACCCTACATCTATAACATTTCTAGTCTGCCCAGTGACCTACTTTTACCTACTTCTCTCCATAACAATCCTGTCACAAGCCATCATCATCTTCTATCTGAATAATCAGGTGCCTCATTTCCACCCCGGTCCCTTCATGTTCTGTTGTCTATCCTGCAGCTAGAATATTTTAAAAGCATAATATTACATTCCTGTCTTGCTTTAGAACTTTCAAAAACTTCCCGCTGCATATAAAATCTAAACTCCTCATCCTAATTTACGAAGTCCTACACAGCCTGGTCTTTGTTTACCTCTTAGCAACTTACTATATCATTCTCCCCAAGCTGTCTGCCCTCCTATCTCATTAAGTTTTCTGCCACTCCTCACAAACTCAGGATCATATCTTCTTTTTTTAAAAAATAAGTTTTTTATTGTGAAAATACTGTACAGAGGGGTTACAGTTACATGAGCAAGGTGATGAGTACATTTCTTATCCAGCATTGTTGCCTCCTTTGTTTTCCCCCTACCATCCTGTCCCTCACACCTCCTCAACTACATCCCCCTCCCCAACTCCCCCACCCACCCTACTCCCATCCACTCCCCCCCACCTCCCGCCTAAATTGTAAGATTCATTTTTTGACATGGCATCTTGTACATCTCATTGTTGCAATGGGTCAATCTGTATCCCTATTTAAACATTTTGGTTTTTTTTTCCCTTCTCCTCCCCAAATTTGAGGAGAGCCTGTGGTAAATATTTTCTCTGCTTCAGATGGTCACTTAGGTCCAATTTAAATATCTTCCCAAAGTATTCACCCATTCCCAACAAGATCCTCAATTGTCCCCTATCATATCTTGTTCTGATTGTCAAAATGACAAGAATTATATTCTTGTCTATTTTAAATCATTTTTTTTACCTTAATGACAACAAAACTTTACAGGGAGCAAGAATACTATTCTGATCCACTGCGGCCACCTCAGTGGCTCCAATTGTGCCTAGCACATTAAGGGGATGTAACAAATATTTGCTACATCAGGAACTTAAAGTGTAGGTTCCATTCTAACATCAAACAAGAACAAAATTTGTATAACCAAGCATATAAACAAATTGTTTTATTAAAAACAGATGTCTTAATGTAGGAAACCATATTATTTTCAAACACATCTAGGTTAGCAAATACAAAATACATTTACCTTATAATTACATCATAGAAGTCTATTTTTTCTCCTAATGTCTTGTTCAAAACTCCTCCATTACCAACCACCACACACTTTATACACGGCACACTTTTGAGCAAAAAGACAAGTGACAGACTGAGTAATCTTTCTCAAAATGGAGTTATTCCAAGAATTTATTCCTAGTTTCAATATTCCAATGACAAATTTCACTTGTTACACACACTGAAAAAGAACCAACCAACAGGCCTAGAGATGTATAGAAATACTCAACACTCCAGAAAAGATAGTCTATTGGGAAAGTATATCATTTTCAACAAATACTAATTCTTGGTAGCTTGTACACATTCTTTCATTTGATTTTCATAACCACCCATTGAGTTGAATAAATCTGCTATTATATTATGCAAACAAAAATAGAAGTAAGACTATTATATAACATTTCAGAGTTACACGCCAAAGAGGTGGAAGTAGCATTTGGATCCAAATGTCTGTAGTACTAAAGCACTCCTCTTTCTGCATGTTGATAAAATACAAGTGTGTTTTCTATCAAAGGCACATACATTTTTGGCCAGCACTGCCCACTCCTCTGACAGTGTACCTCTGGCTTTCTGTGGCATCTCATATGTGGAGAAATAGGCTACACACAGCATTCTGTATCCTGCCCATGCTCACTTCAATTTCCCAAACATGAGTGAGTCGTTGGCACTTAACCAAAACAAATTAAAAGTTCACTCTGTGTTCCTGGCAAAAAGCCTTAAATGAGGAGGCCACATAGGGAGATTTCCCCTTGCTGTGATCAGCCTAGAGTCAGGTAATACAGTGTTGTACCCTAGCAACATGGCCCTGACTCATCCATCTCCTAGCTTTTGGCACCACCAGCCCACTGAGCCTGGAAAAATGACACAATAAACCATCTCCTTCTCCTCTAAGGGACAGATTGTTAGAATTCAAGACCTTAAGGTTTTTTGAAAATTAATAAGCAGCAAAACTGTACAAATGCTGTATTTATTACACTAATCATACTATTTATTATGTTTATTATTTGTTCAATTACTTAAAGATAAAAAAATTTGAAAACAAAAAAACAAAAAATCTCACACTTTTCTGCCTAGTCTGGCTTTTAACCTAAAACCTCATATCTTAGCCTCCTGAGCAGCTAGGATTAATGGCTTGAGCCATGATCACTTGGCTAATACCTTTGTTAGTGAAGTTCATGAAACACAATAGCCTGGTGTTAACTCTGCTTTGGAAAATTAAGGACTCTGAATCTATGAAAGAGCAACAGAAGCAACATATACGAAAGACACCCACTGCAAATGTTACAGAGCTAAGTTTCCTAACTGATTTCAGAATCCTGAGTGACACCGAAACAAATGGGGGCCAGAGAAATGACGCAGAATGGCGAATAAAAATGGCTAGCCATCAGGCTTGTGTGGTCTCTTCAACAGAATTTAACTGTTTTTAAAAGTGGTTCTCTAGTCACCTGGAATAAAGGCAACATTTCCCATTTACCTTCCAGAAAGATGTGAACTTAAAACTGAGTCTTTTCCACTGTTAACAGTCATAGCAGGTAAATATTTAACAACTAGTACTGGGAGATCGGGAGGACAAGGCGAGAAGCTCTGGTGTAGGGTTTGCCAATTTCCATGATATAAATACTCCCTTCGTGACTAATTTCAAACTTCCTCCTTGCAGGGACTGCATATGGAGCTGCAAAGGCATGTATGCTGGTACAAAACACATGACTAGATGCAAGTATTACATACTGTCTGGGAGATGTGCTTATAAAGGAGAAAAGTCTGAAGGGTAAGGCATGTCTTTCTTTCCTTCTTCCCCCACTGAATACAGGAATACAGATGTGACTAGTGGAATTTAAGGAAGCAGCTGTGCCCTAAGGACTGGTAGCATCACTACAGAGAAGCCTGTTGGGAGCCTACGAACTCCATGTATGTGGGGACCAGGAAAAGGAAAACTCCCATCTTGGAAACACAACTGACATTTCAGGTTTTTGCATTCACAGGGCAATCATCCCCAGCTGAGAGCATCATGCTACTCAAGATACCTGAACAAAACCAGTAGAACCTTAAAAAATTCAAATTTGAAAGAGCAACTAATAGGCATACCTGATCTTTGGGCAAGAGGGGAAAGTCTGCCATTTTCCATTTCACTGAGGCCTGATAATTCTAGACAACTCACATTCTCACACTGGTAAAATACGCCTTCCTGTTTGCTTTGTGTATGTGTGTATGTGTGTGTGTGTGTGTGTGTGTGTGTGTGTGTGTATGCGCGCGCGCGCATGCGTGCGCACACGCACCAATCTTGGCTTCAACTCACTCAGGGAATAGGCACTTTCCCTGAGCTCTTTTGCTCAAGGTTAGCAAACTACCACATGAGCCACAGCCCAACTCTTTGGGCAATTAATCGGAGATAAAGTCTCAGTCCTTCCTGCCCATGATGGCTTTAAACTGCAATCTTCAGATCTCAGCCTCTAGAGTTGCTAGGATTACAGGCATGAGCCACCAGTGCCCGGCTCAAGAAGTTTATCTTTAGTAATACAATTGCTATTGGGTAATCTTGACAACAAATTTCTCTAAAAAATAAATACACTCTAGTTAGAATACATATATAGGTTTTTCTTTTTTGTGGTACTGGGTTTTGAACTCAGGGCAGATAGGATCTGGCATTAACAATGAGAGCCAGCCTGGACTGTGATCTTCCATTTCACACTTCCTACAGAGCTGGGATAACAGGTATATGTCACCATTCCCAATTTTTTTTATTGGCTGAAATAGTATCCCATGAACTACTTTTTACTTCAGCTGCCCTCAAAGTACAATCCTCTTTCTCTCGGCCTGCCAAGTAGCTAGGATTGCATGTGTGAACCACTGTGCCTGGTCAATAGTCAGCCTTTGTAGCAGGTAAAACACAAAGATATGGGAGCACACGAAGGATACATGAGAAGGTATGGAAAATAGCCCATAAAGAGAGGCTGGGAGCTGATTAATCCTTAAATAGAAATAACTTAAAATGATTTTCATGAATTAACAATATCCTGGCTTAGGACTAACACTGTTCATCATTAAACTCTACAAACCATTGAGCAACCAAGTTATGCAGCTTCTAGATTCATTTTATTATTATTATTACTATTATTATTTCAACTGTCATACAAACAAATGGAAGTTTTAGTCATGCATAAATGCTATGGAATTTCTTTAAGTAAATACAGTTCATAATCTTAAGGTACACATTTTGAATTTAGAAGGAAAGAGAGGAAATAAACTCACTTGTCAGACTCATCAAAGAGATCACAACTCTGCAATTTTGAAAGAGCAAGTCGAAAATATTCCGCTAGAAAATAAATGGGAGTATAATGAATAAATAGTAAAACACATTGCTTCCTTCCCTACAAGCCCATTTCCAACTTGCCTGACAACATTTAATCTGTGAAAAATTAGCCCTACTGCTATAATTATCCCACACTATTCACTAAGCATATTAAAAAAGACCCAATGCTCAAAGATTCTTCCCATAAAGGGATCACATAGTTAATCTGAAAACCATCATAAAAAATAACTTAAAATTTCATAGTATCAGGTGATTCTCAAACTGATCCTAAAATAGAAATCAATGGTAAGTATAAATCAATTAAATGCTAGCATTCTCTGGAAAATATTTTTAAAACCTATCTAGACACACACACACACACACACACACACACACACACACACACACACACACACACACACACACACCACAGTCCACTTCCAGCTTTTTTCTTTTTGCTTATGTGGTGCTGAGGAGTCGAACCCAGGGCCTCATGCATGCAAGGCAAGCGCTCTACCACTGAGCCAAATTCCCAGCCCCTCTTAATATATTTTATATCCCTTCTAGCAAAAGCTTTCACTTCCACAGTACTTGGATGAAGTGAAATTATTTTTTATTATTGTTACATAACCGCTATTTTAAACATCATTATTTGCAATAAGGATGGTTCTCTTCTAAGCATCTCACAGGGAAAGAAAAGGAAAGGAAGGCTTTTCCCAAGAAGTAGATTAATCGAAGGAATTTGAAATACTTTTGCAATAAATCCACATTTCTTTCCCAGCTAACGTAGATCTGAACTGTTCATACCTCCTATAGCATTTTTCCAGTATCTTTAAGTAATTGCACAATGAGGCTTGAATTCAACATGCCAGTTTATGAGGACGATGCATCCTGAGCAGTGCCACTCCTTCCACCATTCTCCCCCTTCTCTTCCAATGCACTCCTCAATTTACTTCCCATGCACTCCTGAACTTACCTGGTTCCACTTTCACATAAGTACTTTCAATATTATGACTCTATTTGCCCAGACTCTCTCTCTCTCTTACTCATCTGCATCCTCCTCTTACACCACCCCCCAATACATGTTCTGACTTCCTCATTTCTTCATTCTGTTGTTCATAGGAGTTACACTAGTGGACTCCTTCCCTGTTTATACTAGGACTCTATCTATCATAGTTTCGTCAATTTTTTGGTATCATGTTTGAAACATTTCAAGGGAAAGCCTATTTAACTATTCACAGGGAAACATTTTCTAGAAGCTTTTTCTTTTTCTTTGTTTCTTAACATTTTATTGTCAAAGTGATGGACATAGGGGGTTACAGTTACATACATAAGATAGTGAGTACATTTCTTGTCGAACTTGTTAACTCTATCAAAATACTCCCTCACAGATGAACAGATGAGTAAGAGCAGACATAGTAAAGCTTTTCTTTGTACTTAACCCTGCTAAAAGCTAGTAAGTAGATGAAATGCCACCATTTGAGCTTTCCAGAGCTAGCAGTCATGGCATGATAATCTACCTGGATGTCGGCATGCAGTGGTGAGCCAGGCCCCGCTCACAGCTATGCAGTGGCGAAAGGGATCAACTGGTCCTCTAGTTGGCAGGTGCTAACATGGGAGGTTTCAATGAAATACATTAAGTACACTTTTGGGGGACAGTGTTGAGGTTTGATTTCTGGCCCAAATCTATCCATTTTCCCAGCCTTTAAATGCACTTTTTTTTTTTTGTCCAGTCGTGGGGCCTGAACTCTGGGCCTGGGTGCTGTCCCTCAGCTCTTCAGCTCAAGGCTAGCGCTCTACCACTTGAGCCACAGCGCCACTTCCGGCTTTTTTCTTTTTGCTTATGTGGTGCTGAGGAATCGAACCCAGGGCCTCAGGCATACAAGGCAAGTGCTCTACCACTGAGCCACCTTCCCAGCCCCTAAATGCACTTTTTAAACTGGAGTTTTTGTCTTTTGTTGTTGAGTTGGTACTGGGGATCGACCCCAGGAAATTGTCCTTGCTAAACAAAGTACTTTGCCACTGAGCTACATCCCAGCCCCTTTAAATGCATCTTTGACTCACAATATTTTTAGTTTAATAAAGGATTTACCAGGTTGCAGCCCCTGAGTGTAACCATGATAATGTCCAATTAAAGTAGCATAACATTGCTTTTGACGTTGCTATATTACATTAAACCAGCATGTATATTAGCTGAGAACCCATTAAGACAACAAACAAAAGAGATTTGCATTTGTCATGTGAACCTTGTTCTCTGAGGCCAGTCCTTGACAGAACAGGCAACTTTCTCAGAAATAGAGGAGAGCCAGGACCAGTCATGAAGCTCTGATCAGAAGCTTAGAGTGTTAGAAGAAGAACTCCTCCTACCTCCCCTCCCCCTCCCCCTTTTCCTGTCCCTCTCCCTCCCCCCTTCCCTCTTAACTCTTCCCCCTCCTTCTCTCTCTCCCTTTCTCTCTCCCTCTCCTTCTCCTTTCCTCCCCTCCTCTCCCTTCCCCCCTCTCTCCTCCCCTCCACTCCCCTCTCCTCTTCTTTTTTCCTTTCTTTACTTTCTATCCAGTTCTTTTCTTCTTTGACCAGTCCTAGGGCTTGAACTCAAGGCCTGAGCATTGTCCCTGAGCATTTTTGTTGAAGGCTAGTACACTATTACTTAAGTCACAACCCCACTTTCAGCTTTTTGGTGGGTAATTGGACAGGAGAGTCTCATGGACTTTGCTGCTTGGAATCTATTTGAACCACGATCCTCAGATCTCATCCTCCTTACAGGTATGAGCCACTGGTACCACTGGTACCTTTTCTTAAAAATAGGCGTGCATGTAGGTTGCAATTTTGTCATTTTTAGGTAGGCTGGATCTGGCTCAAACCGGCTTGATCTAGTCCGATGTGGCTGGATCTGGCTTAAACCGGCTTGATCCGGTTCCATCTGGGTGGATCCGGCTCAAACCGGCTTGATCCGGTTCCATCTGGGTGGATCCGGCTCAAACTGGCTCGATCTGGCACAAACCGGTTCAATCCGGCTGGATACGGCTCAAACCAGCTTGCTCAAACCGGCTTGATCAGGCTCAAACTGGTTTGAACTGATTTGGTTCGATCCAGCTCAAACCGGTTTGTACCAGTTTGATCCGGTTCCATCCGGCTGGATCCGGCTCAAACCGGTTCGATCCGGCTGGATCCGGCTCAAACCGGTTCGATCTGGCTGGATCTGGCTCAGACCGGTTTGAACCGGTTCAATCTGGCTGGATCCGGCTCAAACCGGTTCGATCCGGTTCCATCTGGCTGGATCCGGCTCAAACCAGTTCGAACCGGTTAGATCCGGTTCCATCTGGCTGGATCCGGCTCAAACTGGTTAGATCCAGTTCGATCTGGCTGGATCCGGCTCAAACCCACTTTATCCGGTTTGTCCAGTTCCATCTGGCTGGATCTGGCTCAAACCGGCTCGATCCGGCTCAAACACGTTTGAACCTGCTCGATCTGGCTCAAACCGGTTTGAGCCGGTTCGATCCAGTCCCATCTGGCTGGATCCGGCTCAAACCGGCTTGATCCAGTTCGATTTGGTTCCATCTGGCTGGATCCGGCTCAAACCGGTTTGAACCGGTTCTATCCGGTTTGATCCAGATCCAACCGGTTTGAAAGGCTTCGATCTGTTTTGATCCGGTTCGATCTGGCTGGATCCGGCTCAAACTGGCTCGATCCGGCTCAAACCGGTTTGAACCGGTTTGATCCAGATCCAACCGGTTTGAACCGCTTCGATCTGGTTTGATCCCGTTTGATCCAGTTCGAGCTGGCTGGATAGTTCAATCCAGCTCAAACCAGTTTGAACCTGTTTGATCCGGTTCCATCTGGCAGGTCTGGCTCAAACTGGCTTGATCCAGGTGGATGGTTCAATCCGGCTCAAAACGATTTGAACCGGTCCGATCTGGTTCCATTTGGCTGATCCGGGTCAAATCGGCTTGATCCGGTTCAAACCGGTTTGATCCGGTTCGATTTTGCTGGATCCGGCTCAGACCGGTTTGAACCGGTTCCATCCGGTTTGATCCGGTTCCATCTGGCTGGATCCGGCTCAAACCGGTTCGATCCGGCTCAAACCAGCTTGATCCAATTCCATCCAGTTGGATCTGGCTGGATCCGGCTCGTTCCGGTTCGATCCGAGAGAAAGCATGTGATTCAGAGAGATGCTTAATAAGCAGGGTCCTGTTTGTTTTAGGACCACAATGGCAGCTCTTACGGACTGTGACAGAAAGGTGATTGGCCCTCAGCATTTCCTTAAAATATCATGTACGGGAATCCCAGAAGCAGATCTGCAGGAAGTCAGGTCTGAATCAGAGTCCTGGTTCTCTTTTTGCTTTTTGTTTGTTTTTGCTAGTACTGGGACTTGAATTAGGGGCCTGCCTAAGGTTGGTTTTAAACCATGATCCTCAGATCTCAGAGTGGCTAGGATTACAGGCGTGAGCCACTGGCACTAAGCTCAGGCTCAAGGTCTTTAAATGTGTTTGAAGTTCATTTTCCTGCTTCATAACATGAAATTAACAGTAAGACCTAACACGTCTAGGTAGACTTTTAAACCGTCTTGAATTTTGCTGGGGACTGAAATGAGTCGAATCCACTATCCTTCTTTCCATTTTGAAAATCACATGACCAGTTTTCAGATTCTGCTGCTGGTATCCCAGAGCTTCAAAGTTCCTGGCCTGCTTCTTCCACAGAATCTCTTTTTGTTCCCTGACATGTAACTCACAGCATCAGACCTCGCCTCTTCAGCCACACCTACCAAGTAGCTGTGGATCAGTAACCCTGGAACCCACACAGAATGCACATCAGCAGAAGACTGCAGTGAAGACAGCCATTAATCAACTTCCCACACTAATAAGCACAGCTGCACCTAGCCATATTGGACAATAGATAGGTCGGTCAAAGACTGAGTTGAAATAATCTTGTCAGAAACAATGAGGTAAGCTCTTCTGAGGAAGTGTTGTTAGGGCTGAGATGTGAAGAACAAGGTGGGGACTGAGGTTTTTAGGAGTGGAGAAAGAAAACAGTGCTTTGGTGACATAGAAGGGGTAGGACTGGGAACTGCAAGTCAGCAGTGAGAACACAGAAGGAAGGGATGTGGGGAGAGGTTGCTGTCACCCAGCAGATGTCTGTACAGGGCCAAGGTGAATTTGTTTGGCTTAGCCAAACAGCACCTGGGACCTTCTGAAGGGCTTTCACCTGGTGGTTGTCTGGAGCAGGGACTAGAAGCCAGCAAGAAGGAAGCACACAAGGGTGTTAGGTAAGCAGGAGGAGCCTGAGGTGGCTTGGGCTGGTAAAGGAAGGGAAGGTTCCAAAGATCACAGAAATTGCTCCCAGACCTTGTCCCCCAGGAGCTGACAATCTGGTTGTACAGATTGTAGAATACTTATGTAACCAAATCTGGTCCTGAGCAAGGTCATTTCTACAACCAAACATGTGGAATCCCCTAGCTCTCTCTTTCCACCCCCACCCCACCTCTGCTTTCTTTGTTCCTTGGCAAGCAGGGTGGGAAATGGGATGGTGACCTGGCCATTCTACCCTTCATTCACTGTCATCTCATGTATCAAGGGCAATGCTCTGGTTTTCCAGATGGTAGCACAGGGATGGAAATGGCTTTGGAAGACCTTACTTTCTGCCCACTTACATACTAGGGCTTGGAAAACACTTGGCCCAGCACATATTAAGAAAATACGTTGTCCACCACTCACTTGGATTCCTTCATATTTTTCTCTTTTTTTTGGGGGGGGGGGATGTGGTGAGGGAGACAGGGACTCTGCGAGGTAGCCTGGGCTGGCCTCAAAATCTTACTTTAGCTTTCCAAATGCTGGGACTAGCTCTATGTGTCATCAGACAGATAACCTGGGATTCTTGGTGCCTCCTGTGCCATTGGTTTAGAAACTTGTCAGCCCAGTTGTGTTTGAGATTGAGCATTTCCACTGGGTCACAGCATCATTGAAGCTTCACCAGCACTTAATACCTTCAAACATCACTCCTAAAACCACTTCTAATAACTTCAAACATCACTCTTAAAACCCTGTGTGTATGTGTGTGTCAGGACTAGAGCTTGAACTCAGGGCTTCATACTTACTTGGGTTTGTCTTTTTGCTCAAGGCTGGGTGCCCTACCACTCAAGCCACACATCTATTCTGGCGTTTTGCTGGTTAGTTGGAGATAAGTATCTCACACTTTCCTGCCTGAGCTAGCTTCAAACTGAGAACTTCAGATTTCAGTTAAGATTACAGTCTTGAGCCACCAACCAATGCCTAGCCCTAAAGCCTTCTTTACCTTACATTGCTCCTTCACTTATTCACACTGGCAGTTCTGTGAGCAAAACTTTCAAGTTTACAAACTATGCCCAATCTTCTCCCAGTGGGCAATTACCTCTGAAATGTCCTAAAACCTCTACACTAACACCACCTAAGTAAACTAATCCATATGAAGCAGGGTATCACAGGCCATGTTGTTTCTGCTTGCACATACCTGCGATGGCACACGTGCAGCTGCTCAGAAAGACAAAAGCACAAGAGCTAGCAAAGAACAGAGAATCCTGGTGAAAGAATACAAGCATATAGAAAATACCCACCTCTATGCACATGTACATAGAAATGGGGGAGGGGGGACTTCGATCTCAATATATTCCCTTTACAGGATGTCTGACTTTTCTCATGTGCTATAATATATAGAAGTATTAGGATTTTTCTCTAGAATGTTCCATACCTTTCAAGTCTCTAGTTGGGTTTTTTTTCTTTTCATTTGGTAAGTTGTGGGGCTTGAACTTGGGCCCTGGGTGCTGCCCCTGACCTCTTTTTGCTCAAGACTAGCACTCTACCACTCTGAGCCTCAGCAACACTCAGGTTTTCTGGTGGTTAACTGGAGACAAAGGATCTTACAGACTTTCCTGCCTGGGCTGGCTTTGAACCATGATCCTTAGATCTCAGGCTCCTGAGTAGCTCAGATTATAGGCGTGATTCACCAATGCCCAGCTAATAACTGACTTTTTAAAAATATTTTGGAAATGTGTTTCTAAGTTGAAAATGTCTGTCAGCAAAAATCTCTTCATTTCTTGCTGTCAATTAAATGCAGACTGCCTTTCTCCTATCATCAATATATATGTTGAGTATCCCTTATCCAAAATGCTTGGAACCAGAATTACTTTGGGTTTTGAATATTTACATAAATATCTTGGGAATGGGACTCAATTCTAAACATAAAATTCATGTTTTATGTCTTATACACAGTTTGAAGGTAACATACACTTTTAATGTGCCTGCATTTTGTCAATAAGCTACTACATAAGGCCAGGTGTGAAATTTTCCACTTGTGGTGAAATATTTGCACTCAAAATGTGTGTTTTGCCTGGTTCTGGTGGCTAGCAACTGTAATCCCAGTTACCCAGGAGGATTGGCTGACATCAGAGGCTGTGGTTCAAAACCAGTCTGGGCAGAAAACTCTGAGACACTCCATTTCCAAATAATCAGCAAAGACTGAAATGGAGGATTGGCTCAAGTGGTTAAGAGTGCCAGCTAGGAGTGGAAAAATCCAGTGAGAGTATGAAGCTGAGTTCAAGCCTCAGTACTGGAATTTAAAAAAAAAATTAGTTTTGGAACATTTCATGCTTTAGAGCTGTTCAACTTGCATTGTCTACAAATCAGAACTTTACTGCATGCCATGCTTTACATGAAACAAGTCTTCCAACACTTGTCCGATTCTATTCTACCTTGCCTTTGTAAAACTTAAATCTGAACTAGGGAACACATTGCTTTAGTTTACACATAGCTCTCTCAAATAATCGACATTTACAGCTACTCAGTTTCAATTGCAGATGTAAACAACTGAAGTTCAGAAAGGATGACTTGAACAAGGTTACACAGCTAGACTTTGACCCTCATCCCACGGCTTCGTATTTATGTAAACAGCCTACAGAACAGCATCAAACTTTATGGTCTAAGGGTCCTCAACAAGCCACATAGTTGAAGCTGCTCAAGGTAGCACTGGCTACGCTACCTTGGAAGTACTTTCCCAAGGTCACTGCACCCATCAGCACAATCTACTCATCTCCCTCATGCTTTCAGTGCTTAAATCATGAAGGGCAGCTCAGTGACATGCACTCAATTGCTCACCATGTCATCTTCCTTGAGGTCCTCAATTGTCTGTACATGTTCACTCTGTTCAGTCCTGTCACTTCTGTGCCCTAGTGATTGGCCTTAGCCCTCATTCTGTTGCTGACAGGTGATAGAAAATGACTACATTGGAGATTTGAATGCTAAGTTTTGCAGTTGCTCAAGTTTAATGAAGGGAGGAGTATCCTAAACTGTCTGGAAGGACTAAACAGTATGATTTCAGGGGATTTAAAATATCAACCTTCCTTTTGGGACCATGTTGGAAGCACAGTCTTGCTAAATTAGTGCTCCTTCAGGATACCTCTCCACCAGGGGAGACTGGTGATCTTCTGGTCTATGACCTTCAGGCCTGTGGATCCCCACAGAGCATCATCCCCAACTCTAGCGGGTCAGGTTTTTTTTTTTTTTTTTGGTGGGGGGTCCGGTCGTGGGGCACTGTCCCTCAGCTCTTCAGCTCAAGGCTAGCGCTCTACCACTTGAGCCACAGCACCACTTCCGGATTTTTTTCTTTTTGCTTATATGGTGCTGAGGAATCGAACCCAGGGCCTCAGGCATGCAAGGCAAGCGCTCTACCACTGAGCCACCTTCCCAGCCCCGGGTCAGTTCTTTTGGAACAAAGTCTCCTCCTCATTTCCACTCTGTAAATTTGGGATTATAAGTAGGGTATTACCACTGTCTCTACTTCCACTGTATTGGTCTGTATCTATTTTCTATCTTCTGGAACCTGTTTACTAAAATTTTATTTTCCCTAAAACTATCTACCCTAAAACAGGGAATAACTACCCACTCAGCAATCTGTTGAGATGTAAATTACTCAGCATAGTATCCAATACCATTCCACTCAATGTTTGCTTTAATTCTGATGTACAATAAATACTACAGTTAATAAATACCAGTCAATGCCTTTCAGATACTCAAAGATGCTAGTAGCTTCAATCACCTATTATTTGTATCTAGCACAGTGCTTGTTACTAAGTAGGTGCTGGATGTTGAATTAATGCAGGGCTGGTGTTCTGTGCCCCAGCAAGAGTCAAGTCAATATTGGAAACACAATTATTATCACAGGCAATGCATTTACATTTCTGTGGCTCCCCTCCCCATCCTGACAGGGATACTGTAGTTAAAGGTTACGGAGAACAGGAGAAGGTAGGGAAAATTAAGGTTACAACTTTATAACTGTGTAAGTGGGTAAAAAGGCAAGTCTATTGTACAATTCAAGACCATTTTTAAATTTGGGTATTTCCAGCAACTTGAAGATGCCACTTTTGTTTACAGTATTGTATCTTTCATCCTAGCTCTTACACATACACATATCTGCACAGATACATGGAAAGGGGTTTTAATCTGTCATTTTTATCAAAAAATGACAGAAAAAGAACTTTTGAACTTAGCCTCGTTTCAGTTTTATTTCACTCCTGATCCTTTATACATCATATGGATATAATGTACTTTAATATATTAGGCTCACCAAAAATGGGTGAAAGCTAATAAAATTGTATTCAAACATATAGCTAAAATAAAATCTTCATATTCATTTTGTGTATGGTAAATTGTCAAGTAAAACTCAATGACAACACATTAATTCCAGTGACTTTAATTTTATTTTTTTTCCATATAATCTTCAGAAGGTGGGAGAAGCATCCTGTAGAAGATCTCCCCACCCTTCTCTCCCCACCAGTTTGACTCAACAAGATGAACTGGGATCTAGAAAATGTATTAGTAGACTATCAGTGGTATTACTTCGTACAACTGGGTTTACAGCACCACGCTACTAAGCCAGGGTCCTAGGGCTGACCTCAGCAATGACCAACTAGTTTAAATTGTTCTATGGACCCAGGCAACATTCCTAACTAGAGATCCATTTCTCACATGCATCCCACTGTCACAAGATAAGGTACCAGCAAAATGGTAGATGAAGGAAAACAAATTTATCTGCACTAACAACAAAAAAAACCCTTCCTTCCATGTGTACTACTGACGGTGGCCTTAATAAAATCTTATCTGTAAAGAAAAAACTACAGTCTTAGCTCTATGTTAAGCACATTTCAAGTATAAAATAATCACAACAGTAACACCTGACTCTTGTGTTTAAGAACTGTCTAATAACATTGTACACAAAGTTCTACTGAAGGCCCTGATAACTGTTACCCAACCCGTGTATGTTAGTTCTATATAAACGTCCATTTCTCTTTACTATTATCTGTGTACGAGTTTTGCATATTTGCCATCAGTTATTTGGTTCAGAGTATTGTGAAAAATTCAGCTAGAAAATTATTCATAAAACTGTATTCTGTATTTTATTTTTCAAACAGCCAGTGTCCACATTTAAAATGCAGAATTTGCAAATATAAGTTAATCTAATAATTCAGTTTAAAATAAAACAACTTCCTGTAGTATCACAATACATAAAATGGTATTATAAACTCCAATGGCAAGGTTATCTATATGACAATAGTGCCAAAAATTGTGACACTCAGTAAACCTCCTAATGCCAAGGTCAGTTTACAGAACGCTTCCATGTTCCATGACTACACATGAAACCATCTCTCACTGTTTATAAAGGCTCAGCAATCCATTCATGGCATAAGATGGGGTCAAGCAAGATTTCTTTTTTTTTTACAGTAACAATACAAATGTATTTAAACAAACAGAAAACCCTCCCAATTGTTTAAAAACAATTATATTTGGAAGGCAAAATATATCTAAAATACTTTGACTTACTAAATTTCACTGTCAGGTTGCTGACTACTAATGTAAAAGTTTGTATTTAAAAATATCACAAATATCTTATTTAACAGTGAAAAGTTCAATATGCTAAGTTTCATTGCAAAGTGATTTTCACCTGAGTAGATTTTGAAATTTAGTGCTCATATTTTTGGGGGGAAGAAAAAGGACCCACTTTGTATCTGATACTGAGCTTGCAGGTGATCCCTTCAAACTGATCTCTTAAGGGGCGAAGAAATAATCCTCTGTGATGTTACCAAGACATGACACACCGTCATAGACTTGTTTTGGCATTTTATGAATCTCAGTATCCATTAAATATTTCCACTTAGCTACCCATTCAAGCATAGCAACTCAATTCATTCATTTCTATACAACAGTGTCTATATTATGTACATGTTTAATTATCAATAGGAAATAGAAAATTAAAATTTACAGTGATTGAGAAAAGGTCAGAAAGTGGGATAGGAAGAGTAATACTGTATAATCAGAATATCCTAGTAGCCTACCGGTTCCAATGACAGAGTTTTTCTTTTATTAGTTGAAATACAAAGAAGTTATAGGAGATCCCAGGAAAATAACACTATATATCAGAAACGTGCTCCACCATCAGGATTTCCATCACACATTTAATTTCTTCTGTACATTTTTTTATAAACTTGTTTTTCTTTTCAAAAAATCATCAGACTTCCAGATCAAATTCAGCACTACACAGTATGCCCTTGAAGTAAAATGAGGTTACCTGCTTTATTTGGATACCAAGTTCCCTTCCAGACAGCATTAAAATAAAGACAAGACTACACAGATAAAATCCAGTATAATTCAAATCCAGCAATGAAAAATTTCCCCATATTGTTGCAAAATTCTTTCTACTGAAATGCCTCGCTACAATAATAAAAAGCATACATTACATATAAAAGATACCAGTGTACTAAAAAGTGACAGAAGTGGACTAGCAAATCCTTCAAAGCACATTATATAAATGACTAGCATTTAAAAACATTTCTCCTATAAAATGTAGGTCATATACATTTATAAATTGGCGTTTTTATTTCTAAAGCAGTGATGTGTGTTAAATAACTGTTCTGTACAGTATAGTATCTACTCAATTCAAACTACAAGTTTGTCTTTCTTTGTATTGAAGTTAAATAAATTCATCTGTTCAGTTGAGAGACCAAGCTTGAAAAATAAGTATCTAAAAATCAAAGTAGAAAGTTCAGAATTGTTGAAATAGAGCTACGAAACATGAAGAGAACTATCTATTTCATAATGAAGCTGAAGTCACCTCAAAACTTACAGGCTTGAAGCTAAAATAGAAACAAATATTAAAATCCAAAGCAAAGCACAAAGTTAGGTAGGAGTATAGAAGCAAGAAAAAAATAGAAAACTAAACAAAAAAACACAACCAACCAAAAAACCACATCCCTTCCTTCAGTGTGATGGGCACTAAGTTTTGCGGTCTTCCTCCATCTTGCAGAAGAGTGGTAAGGCCATTCAATGCTTAGTGAAAGTGAGTACAGATGAAGCCAGATATAGCCTGTCTCCCCTGCAACTTCAATTATGCTGTGTAAACAGTGTTACGTTCCAATAGGAGGAACAATGGAATTTGCTTATAAAAACTGATTAGAGATAATCATTAAATGAAATAAGGATAACTCTGAAATGTTTTTAGAACTTTCCTGATGCTACTTGTAAAGTTAGCACTGCTATGTATTATTGCTTACATACAGTACAACATCATATGCCTTCTAACATAAAGCAGTACTGTGATTTGTTTGTACATATTTACAGATTCTTAAAAACAAGCTGTAAAAACATTACATACTTTCAGACAATACAAATTAGCACATTGGTACTCACTTCAAAACAAATGGAATGCATAACATTAATAAACATCATAAAGGAAGACTCACATGAAAGTCCTTGATTGTCAAGACACGTTTATATATAAACTCTAACTGTGCAGAATTAAAGATTCAATCATAGGTACATCCTTACTTGATGAACCGTATTTACAGCATGGTATTGCATAAAAAAATAAAATAATGTTTACAGGGTTTTACTTTTTTATCCATTGGATTAAAGAAAGCAACAAACATAACAAGAAATGTTTGTCTGCTTTAATTTGTTTCCTACCAAAGTTTAAGTGAAAAAAAGGAAACACATGGTTTTTATTTGCAGAATATAGCAAACACAACTGGAAAATTATTTCCCTGAAATAAAGCAACTTGAAACAGAAAATATTTAAATTAAATTGCAGACTCAAAAAATTTTCCTCACTGGTTATAATAGTACTTTTTCAAGTAAAGGTACTGTGAAAACACAAGTTCTAGTGTAAGAAGTTAGTACTACTAAGAAATTCAGTACTACAGTAATGCCTATTTTTAAAGTTTCCCGGCTTTTTTTTTTTTTTTTTTAAACAGCCCTTGAAAAATCCAAATCAATAAATGAAACAAGTGGCAAAAGATCTAACCTTGCTGGCACTTTTACAAGTGTCTCTCATCTGTGGAAATGAAAGCCTGCCCTGAGCATAAGGCCTTTCTACCTCTCTAGAGATAAAAGGACCTAACTGCTGGCATCCTCAGCCAGAGCTAAGGAGATGGATTCCTACCTTATCAGGTAGCATGTTTTGTATGTAGATCAAAAAATTTGGGAGCCACTCAACTATTCCAAACCAAGTAACACATATGTGTAATGTAAGAGTTTAAGTGAACTGCCCCCAACACCTTTGAGATGATGTTTGAGAGATACTACTTCATCTGAAGTGATTGCTTCCCATCTTCAAACACAAAAGCAAGGACCCAAGTGAAAAAGCACACCTCACTCACACTCAAAACAAAGGTTTAAGGGTGCAAGAGCACACTATATTATAGAGCAATTTGCTCACTGAGAGAAATGAGAAACATGGACTGCAAAGGATATCTCATATCCTCCATGTTTCAACTAAAAGCACAAGGCTACTTATTTTCTCTACTAATGCCCAAAAAGATATTAAAATAACTTTCTGAACCAAAGTGGGGAAACCCAAACTGTTGTGATTTTATCATGATGATAATACAAGGTAACTCTGGTAGGCATTTAAAATTTCACAGTAGGAGTGATGACTATATTTAAATGGTACGTCAATAAGTTATGCTGGCTAAGTATCAGTTATCTAAAAAATGCTTATAACCTGGTAGGAAAGTCTGCCATTATACAGATTTAAAGAAATGTGTTTAAGACAGGAATGCGACACCTGAAATTCTGTTTGCATACTCCCATTTTTAAAGGCCTTCCTTCCTAAGCTTACCCAAACTGCTTGGCAACAGTCACTTTCTTAAAACTGTGCTGGTGATAGTAAACAGAAAGCTTTACACTTTACCAAGAACTGCATCAAGTTTTCAACAGAACATAGTTTTTGATAAGGCTCAACTCAGGAAATAAATGCCTATGCTTATCAAAAGTACTCTGAGGAAAATACAAATCCCTATCTAGGGAGAGCACAGTTCCATTTTTAACACCTCACTTGAACGAAGTCTTCCTGCAATTATGTGATGTACAACACATATCAACCTTAAGATCAATAATGGCAGAACTTAAATATTTACTTCAAAGAAGTCTAAAATTCTTGAAAATTTTGACAGCCAACAAAGCCATCAACTGCAAAAACTAGTATTTCAAGAGAAGCTTAATGATAAAGGTATAGGAAACCACATTAAACATAATTTATATTCCTTATCATAAAAACATCAATATATGCAAAATAAATGATGTGAAGCAGAAGGATGTTCCTTTGTTCCCTTTCTTGAGAACAATCTTGGGATAACATTAAATAAGAGAAATAATAATTTAAATGGATAACACAGTCTATACTGAAAAGAAGAATGAAAACCAACAGGGCCAGTATAAAGGTTAAAATGAAAAATTAACAAAGTAAAAGTCATCTTCCAAGGGTACTAGATTTAATTTATCACTAAGTGCGCACTGTGATAAAGATGGCAGAAACCAAATGGTTAGAATTAATATAACTAATGTTACTCTTTAAAGATCAAAACTCTCCAATGTATAACTCAAACCATGGCTCTTCAGAAAAGTATATATGTATATATATATATTAAAAGCACTATTTATTGTACCATGCTGTATTATTTTAAGACAAAATATAAAAAAAAACATTCGTGATATAAGGATAAAGGCTGTAGTTTATTTAGATTTTGAAATGCAACAAAAATTTCCGATCACTCATCTAGCTGAAAAAGAAATTGTAGTTACTGGAATTAGTAAACACTTTTGGTTTGTAAAACTGTAATGAGCAGTGTTCATTAAAAAGTAACTCAAAATAAAATAAGCAATTAAAATGCCCACTTCTTTAGTTTTTAGGATAGCTTAGTTATCCCATCTATCGAGAGTCTAGAAAAAGAAGGATTAAACCATGTTTAACAGTTCCAAAGATACCCCAATTTCTTTTTATTGCCAAAAATTAAAATAGTCAATTATGAGATGATTATGACACAACCATTTCAAACCTAAAAATCTAATTTTTTTTTACTTTGAGAGATCAAAAATACCAAATAGATTCTAAGTGCTCTATGTTAACTGAAGTGTATATGTAAAGTAAAATACAATTGAGCTTTAAAACATGGAATATACATTTGTGTAAGCATTATGTTCTTGGGAATGTAATCTACAGAATATTTTTTACTAAACCTTCGAAACCTTGATACTTGCACATGAAAAATCATAAAAAATATCTAGGTACAACTGTACAAAGAAACTGACACTAATATACATACTTTCATAGAGAAGTGAATGCTTTAACAGTTGTGTGTTTTGGTAGAAGTTCTGAAAGTATGCATATTTTAGAAGTAATTAGGCTTTTAAATAGTGGAGTCTTAGACTATCAGGTTTTTATTACTTTTTTTTTCTTAAAAAAAAAACACGTCAATATAATGCAAAATGAAAATCAAGGGTATATGGCAAATCATTCTTTTTAAAAGGTGGTTTCTTTCCCCCCAGAGGACAAACTAGTTTATTTAAGCCATACTCTCTTGACATTTAAACTTTTAAGTTCACTCTGTCGGTAAAGTATACTCAGATTCCCTGCTGAAGTGCAATGACTAGGCTGAAAAACTTAAAAACAAGTATGAGTAAATTTCACACAATTACTAATCTCCTAAGAATGTACAATGTTATCAGTTAGGAAACAATTGTGTGAGTCTTTTTTTTTTCCTTTTGAACTTGGTGTAGGTGGAATAGCAAGTTTCTGATCTAAAACAAATAATGCATTGCTTCTATAAAGGTGACATGTAAGGCAGTTCAAAAAATGCTGACTAACCAAACAAAATGCAGTTATTGGATTATCTTGCTATTCATATCAACTTAACTTATTATTAACGCATTGCTCTTAACTCTGTACAGCACTCCATTTTACACAGAGTAACCCCACTCTTGATTAATCTGTTCTAAAGTGCCAGTATTATTTACACTTTTTTTTTCTTTTTTAGCCAAAAGTCTGGCCAGTTGTGGCATCCGGTGAAGATGTCATCCCAGCTCTATTATCATTTACATTCACCAAGGGAAATTCTGAAAATTCAGCACTTGTCCCTGGTCCCCGAAGGTTCACCTGTCCATTGGCAGTGCTAAATTGAGTAGCTATTCCGGCTCTGGATCCATGATATGGAGCACGGAAAGGCTGTTCAAAGGAGCTCATTTGGTAAGCTTGATGGACAGGCTGAGCCTCAGCTTTCTTCTGAGAAGTCACCTGATCCAAAAAGTCCTGTGTTGATGTGGCAGAAGCATGGTTTGTCTCATCACCTGAAAAGGGAAATGAGTGCTGTGAATCACCAACTATTAGTCCAAAGTGGGACTTATCTGGAGTTGTTCTTAGTGGAGAATTCATTCCTGATCGAAAGCTATTGATGGGCATGGCTGCATAGACTTGTTTGTCTATGGAAGAGAATGCTGGCTGATTTGGAAGGGTCTGGTTATCAGTCACGAAGTTAAGGCTTGGGCTATTCAAATAGGCATCATTTTGGCTAGTTCTGTCCAAAGCCTGCTGCAGAAACTTTGAGTATTCCTGCAACATGTTGGCTTTGTCTGATGAGGATGCTTGGGAGCTTGATCCAACATTCTCTGACTGGGTAACCTCAGGTACTTCTGACGAATTAATTGATATGCTAGAAGTCACTTCAGTGTCTGCAACACTGAAGGAAATCTCATGCTGTCCGTTAGCTTTATGGGAATAATGATCCAATAGGGTCTGCAGTACCTCATCTGGAATAACATTTTTGTCATGATTACTTTTGATCTCCACATTCAGAGCCTGTGAATCTAATATGGATGCTGTGGTGCTTTCATCAATGACACTTGCCACCGCTGCTTGGGTTACAGAAGGCTGGGAAGCTATAGTACCCACGTTCAGAGCATATTCCCTGCTATTGTTGCTTGCTGCTTGAAGATACCGCTTCTTCTTCAAAAACTGCATGGCATCATCGTAATTAGTGCTGCTATGCACAGGTTTACTGGGCCCCTCCTGCAAGGTATCTACCTGATCAATGTCAGCATTGCCTTCTGAGTCTAGCAGAGCTTGTTTATCCACAAGTTCAAATGCATACTTTGAAACTTTGCTCTCTTCATATGTGGACAAAGGTGAAATTGTTTGATTTTGCTCTAGTGGCTGTTTTAGACTTCTCTTGCTATTAATTTTTTTGAGAACCAACTTTGGTGGATGTATTTCTCCTGATGCATCTTCTAAATGCGATCCTCCAACTGAAGAATGTGGCATTTCAACAGCATACTCTGCTACCATGTACTCATCTTTTACCTTAGTACTTGAAGAATAAAGAGGCAAATAATCGTTTTTGTCTTTCTTCAGGTCAGATTTGTCCAAAGCATTATCTTTGTCCATTCCAGATGACTTCTTTTCAGTTTTCTGCCTTTTCTTTTTTGGCAGTGAGTTATCTTTTGGTGATGTAGAAAAGCCAGAATCCTCCTCAGATGTCAGAAGGCCACCTTTGATGGCACATCTGTTAAGTTTTTTGTCATGATTTTCATGGCACATACGTTTATGTTTCAACACACGATCTGTTCTGGAAAAATACTGTCGAAATCAGAGGTTGGAAGTAGGTTTTTGTGTTTGTTTTTGTCAACAAAGAAAAAAAAGAAACAAAACAATATAAGTATAACAATATAAATAATCCCAAACCAATTTTTTTTATAAATCTGGTTAATAAGAATTTAAAACCTTTTCAAGTAGTTCTAGTAGTAAATTACATTTTCTAATTTATTAGAATTATTTGATTATGTAAACAGAATAGAATATCTTGCAGCCACCCCTTCTTACCTGTAAACAGTATTCACACTGGTAAGGTTTCTCTCCACTATGAGTTCTCTTATGCCTTTCCATATGATATTTTTGTATGAATCTCATACCACATTCATCACAGCGAAATGGTTTTTCACCTAGTACATGATAAAAAGTTTAAAACAAAACAAATATTATAAAATAATGAATTTCTTTGCCACAAGATTCACTTAAATAAATGGCTTTTGACAACTATAATCTGCTCTATTTAAATGACAAGTCTTCCCTATACTAAAGGCTGGAAGCAGGAATATCTACTTTACCTCCCCCCTTCTGTCAGGCACATATACAGTATGCTCTTCTTCTGGAGACCAGCACACCCTAGAGTAATACAGACATTCTTCCCATTCAGCAGCTGATATTTCCCATCATTTTTGTGATCATACCAAACAGTATCTTGAAACTTAAAAAAAAAATCTAAATCCTAAGAAAATATTCTTTAGAACCTAATTTATTAAGTTTATATAAAAGGACCTCTGAGACTAAATTTCTAATGTTTGTTTATATTGATTCTTTTTTTCAACTCAAACCACAACTCTCCCATCATCTGGGAAATGAACTAAACTGAGTATTATCAACTGAAGACACACTGCCCTTACCACCCCATTTAAACAAAAGCCCTTTAGGACTTCTTAGCTATAAGGAAACATTACTGCAGAGCCCTAAATAGGTCTGACTTATAAAAATCACAGTTTACTTACTTATAAAAATCAAAGTCTAAGTAATCACAGAGTAGGACAAGAAGTTATCTTAAACAATACTTGTTTGGGAAACTCCTCTATATTTGTACTTATCATATATTTAACAAAATTTTACTAAATACTGTTCCTCAATCCATAGCACTTTTAACTCAGTACTGTAGTAAGTTAAAAGCTGAAGACATACTGCCTATCCTCAGAGAGTTTATAGCATAGTGGAAAAACAAGATAAATAATGACAACTCACAGAACTACCAAAGTACCTACCACCTTATATTTTTCTGCTTTTGCCTTGATCCATGTTCTTCCTTCAGTCAAGAATTCAGCCTTTGAATTCTCAGACACCAAATCCCCTTTCAAACCAAGCCCGAATACCCTAGGACCCTCCATTCATCCTCTCCTATGCAACTCAATACTTTCATTCAGTTTTTTTTCCCCCCAATGCCTGTCCTGACCTTCAACTCAGAGCTTGGGCATTGTCCCTGAGCTTTTATGCTCAAGGTTACCATTCTACCACTTAAGCCACAGATTTACTTTTGGCTTTTTGATGATTCATGAGAGATGAGTTTCTTAGTATGAGCCTCCTGAATAGTTAGGATTATAGGCGTGAGCCACCAGCACTCAGCTCAGTTCTATTCTGTTCCAGAATACATTTCCTTAGGTTAGAACCTAGACTTAACATAGTTCAAAATACCTTGAGCAATTTAAGTGCCTACTGAATGACACAGATGATGCTTACTACAGTGAATCACTAGTGAAATAAATGGCACTATGAGCTGGTATGATGTGGAAAAACTCTTGCAAATGTTTGAATATAGTAGTTGGGTAGCACTTGAAAAGTGCTTTCTTGCCGGCAAGAAAATCCGGGGATGAATAACAGAACTACTAAGAGGTTAAATGTGGTAGAAATGTAGTCTAAGACAAGAATTTGATTTGGCCACAAGAATATTAATTAAAACTCTGCAGAATGTAGCTTCTGGCAGAAGACTTTAAGATGGAAAAGACCTTTGAGTGGCTTTCAAACTACTCGTGGGCTTCCGCAGAAGTACTGATGCTGGTATAGTGAAAGGTTCAAGGTTGTTAAGCAAAATTCAGTTTTGGGTTTTTTTGTTGTTGTTATTGCTGGCACATGCATGTATGTGCTGGTACTGGGGCTAAAACTCAGGGTTTCATGGTATTACTTGGCTTTTGTGTTCACACATAGAGATCTACCACTTGAACTACACCTCTACTTCTAGCTTTTTGCTGATTTAACTAAAGATTTGACTTACTGGGTCTCCAAGTAAAGGTTCAAAAGGTTCAGAAGACAGAGAGATAGCATACCACAATTAATCTAGACTAACTTAATCATTTTACAGTAAAAGAAATCTTGATGCCCAGGAAAGTTAAAGCATTTTGCAATAAATAATTATGAAGCAACAGAAACCGGGAGACAAGACCACTTACAAGCAAGTTTAGAAATGAGAAAAAAAATAGATGTACTGCATAACAGAAAGTAATCCCAGAGTAAATCCTGCTAAAAATGGGGAGAGATTAAATTGTCTAAAGGCAGAGGAACCAGTGGAGACAAAACACTGAATATGAACACTGTAAACTAATATGGAATAATTACAGTGAATAACAGAGGAATAAGATCTCAAGAATCAAGATGAGAAAGGAAGGCAGGTATAAATAATGTAGGAAGGCAAAAAGTAGTACACATTTTGAAACTGAAAATGCTGGGCACGACTGGCATTTATATTTATTTATTTTGTCGGCCGTGGGGCTTGAACTCTGGACCTGGGCGCTGTCCCTCAGCTCTTCAGCTCAAGGCGAGCGCTCTACCACTTGAGCTACAGCGCCACTTCCGGTTTTCTGGTGGTTTATTGGAGATAGGAGTCTCACGGTCTCTCCTGCCTGGGCTGGCTTTGAACCGCGATCCTCAGATCTCAGCCTCCTGAGTAGCTAGGATTACAGGCGTGAGCCACCAGTGCCCGGCTGGCATTTATATTTATAACCCTAGTTATTCAGGAACCTAAAATGTGAAAATCGCCAGTTCAGGCAGGAAAGCCCATGAGACTTTTTTTAACTGTATTTTTTTTTCTTTTCTTTTTTGGTACTGGGGATCGAACCCAGGACATTGCACTTGCTAGGCAAGCGCTTTGCCACTGAGCTACATCCCAGCCCATCCCATGAGACTCTTATCACCACTTAACCACCAAAAAACTGGAAGTGGAGTTGTGGTTCAAGTGGGAGAGTGCCAATTTTGAGTGGAAAAAGCTAAAGGATAGGGATAGCATGCCCAGGTTGTGAGCGCAAGCCCCCGGATTGGTACAATGAAAAAAAAAAAAAACATAAGAAACTGAGAATGTAGACAACAGAGCTAAGGTAAAAAAGTTAAAGTCATTTTTCAAAAGTGAGAAGAGAGAAAAATTACTAAGTTGATTAGAATTCATCAATTCATGGACTAGAAAATGTAATACTGCTAAAATAGCATTACTCTTCAAGATCAAAACAATCAAAATATACAAGACAATCTTAAAGAGAATCAAATCGAAGGATTCACATTCCAAGGTTTAAAAATAACTGCAAAACTACAATAATCAAGATAATGTAACATAGTTTAAGGATAAACTTATTCAAGATATGGAATTCATATTTTGGAAACAAACCCTTACATTTATGGTGAAGAAGTTTCTGAAGGTGTCAAGGTAATTCAATAAAGAAAGCATATTGTTTTGAACAAATTCACCTGGACAATTTCACACTCATATGCAAAATAACAAAACTGGACCCTTACTTCATGTAATGAATAAAAATTATTTAACGTAGATCATAAACCTTGGGTAGGCAATGGTTTCTTAAAAACACCACCAAAAGAAGTATTAGGTGTACTCCTGTAACTCTAGCTATAAGATCATAGTTCAAGGCTATGCTGGGCAAAAATATCAGTGAGACCCTGATTCAAAAACAAGCTGTGCCTGATATTACACACCTATACTCTCAGTTATACTGGAGGTGGAGGTAGGAAGATCTCAGTTGCAGGACAGGCTAGGCCAAGTTTATGTAAATCTGAAAAATAAACTTAGAAGCAAAAGGATTGTTGGGGTGGGGCTAAGTGGCTCAAGTGGTAAAGCACTTGCTGTAAGCATAAGATTCTGAGGAGTTCAATCTGCAGTCACACACACACACACACACACACACACACACACACACACACACACACGGAAAGTCTTCCTCCTACTCCCCCTGTCCCATTCATTCTATTTCTGTTCCCCCCCCCCCCCCCCCGGGTTTGATATAACATGCACAAAACTAAATGAGTATTTTGTTTCCATCATTTTTTTGTGTGTCAGTAGTAGAGCTTGCACACGGGCACTATAGGCACTATTCCCTTAGCTTTCTCTCTCAAGGCTAGTGCTCTACCACTTGAGCTACAGCGCCACTTCTGGTTTTTTGGTGGTTTATTGGAGATAAGAGTTTCACGGACTTTACTGCCCGGGCTGGCTTTGAACCGAGATCCTCAGATCTCAGCCTCCTGAGTAGCTAGGATTACACGTGTGAGCCACTGGCGCCCAGCTATATTTGTGATTCTTAAATACATTACCAGTCGATCTCATGAGATGTTATTTGCGTTTCTACATATGAGTGAGTTTCCCTATAATCTTACCACCTTTTGTCAAACTGGGTTTTTTTATTTGTGATACTGAGGGTTTTTTTTTTACTTTTGGTTGGTCGTGGGGCTTGAACTCTGAGTCTGGGCACTGTCCCTCAGCTCTTCAGCTCAAGGCTAGGGCTCTACCACTTGAGCCACAGCGCCACTTCTGGTTTTCAGTGGTTAATTGGAGATAAGTTCCACTGACTTACCTGTCCGACTTTCCTGCCCGGGCTGGCTTTGAACTGCGATCCTCAGATCTCTGCCTCCTGAGTAGCTAGGATTTTACAGCTGTGAGCCACCAGTAGCCGGCAATACTGAGTTTTGAACTCAGGCCTTGAGCTTGCTAAGCCAATTACTCTACAACTTGAGCCACACTTCAGCCCTGTTGTCAAACTTTCTGATAACTGCCATGTCTAAAAATTGGTTAAAAACACTAGTGCCCAACAGTACTTAACAGTGCATGCTTTAATTTTTGGTCAGTGCAATATTTATTTTACTTATAACTTGTATTGTCCACCTTTTATGGCTTTTTAAGTTCGCCATAAGCTTCTATTGTCAAGTGGTTATTTTTAGACTAAGCAATTTTTTTCATAGATACCAGCATAGTTCAGTAAATGTTAGCTATTAAAAGAAATGAAGAGGAGGATAGTAAATGACAATCATTCTATTTATATATTAGTTGTACTTATAACCCAGTGACTAGGTTATAGATCCAAAATGAAAATGTTCTTAAGCTTAATAATAAATTTGAGCAAAGATGGAA